GGAACACAACACCAAAATGGAGTCCGAATTGAATCGAATTAAGTCTGAATACATTCAATTGGAACAACAGATCGAGTCATACGAAAAGGTCGGCCATCGATGTCTCAATTGATAATCATTTGCTTATGCAGTGAATTGATGTTTCAGGAGAACAAACAACTGGTCGGAACCACTGAAAACCTGAACCAATACTATCTCACTCTACGGAATAACTTATTAGAACTCTTAGAGACCATTCATTTCCCCGATTGTATTGAAGAGCAGCCAAACCAAGAAAACTTCGATGAATTTCTGGACAAATTGCAGGCCATTTGTGTCGAGAGCTATAAAGACGAGAACCGTTTGGTGTTCTCTTCTATAAGACATGTTTTGAAAGACTTTTCCGTCAATTTATGATGGAATTGATGCCTTTGTTTAACCATTTAGTCACCTATCGCTCTATGTATTAGCAAAATATCGTTAAATTATTGATTATTACTTATTTGAATCAACACTTTGTTCAATGTGTTCAAGTATTGTTGAAATTGTGATACAAATTATAATATTTAATTCATTGCAAATATGATTATTTTTAATAAATCAATCAAATCACATTCAAATGCTTTCTATACTTAAAGCAGTTAACAAAGCCTTCATATAACAGATTACACTAAAGATATGCACTCTTTTGCATCATTTCATTCAATTGTCAATTCATTGAATCAATTGAACTCAAAGTATAGAAGAATTTGTTACAATTATTCTACCATTTAATATATTATAGTATTCTATACTAATTATTGTATATTCATTTGCAAAGATTAATAAATAAATTTTTAATGTTGTATTGTAGTATTCTTACAGTATATTAATACTGTATGTTAATTATGAATCATGAATTGATAATTTATATCAAGTCTTATACTATCGATAGACTACTAACTCATAAATGAACAGTACTTGAAAACTAATGGAAAGTACAGACAGATTGTGTGAACCAATAGTGAGTCGAGAAAATGATTGAATCACTGAACGCTATGTCAATACAATAGCAAACATCTGATACTTTCAATAGATGTATGAAATAGTGAGCGAATGGACGCATAGAGTGTTTGTTTCGACATTTCGCTCATATCTCACTTGTTTTGAACCAAACATTAATCGCTTTATTCATATAAACAGTGAGACAGTGAAAGACAACACATTGGACCAACTCTTCGTCTCATTATAACCCTCTCTGCCATTCATTGTAGTCAACGACACAACTGTGAAAATGTCTGCACTTTACCCGTCACTCGAGGACATGAAAGTGGACCAAATGATGAGAGTGAGTATATTTGCCATTTGGTAATCATTGCAATGATCTAATCGGTGGTCACTGTGAAGGCACAGCAACAACAGCCATATGTGGTGCCATCGGTGGCCTACCCGTCGCCCCCATCGGCGCCGTACCCAACACTCGGCAACGGATCTTCGGTGTATTGGACTCAGATTTGGTGATCAGATCTTGCAGTTGAACGGCGAAAACGTGGCCGGATTTACCACCGATAAGGTGCACGACATCATCAAGAAGTCGGCCGTCAATGACATACATCTGGTGGTGAGAGACCGACCCTTCGAGCGAGTGGTGACTCTGCATAAGGACAGTGTGGGTCACGTGGGCTTCACCTTCAAGAACGGCAAGATTAACGCCATTGTTAAGGACTCGTCAGCCGCACGCAATGGTCTGCTCACTGAACACAACTTCTTGGAGATCAACGGACAGAATGTGGTCGGAATGGACGACAAAGCCATTCGTAATGTCATTGACTCGGCCGGCGATGTCATTACTCTTACAATTATGCCATCGTTTGTCTTCGAGCATATGATGAAGCAGTGAGTTATCACCGCTTAGATCTCAACAGTTAGACCATTCATTAACTTTCACTCATTTTATTCCCAACAGAATGGCCACCAGTTTAGTGAAAAGATTAATGGATCACTCGATTCCTAATGTCTGAAAATGTGGATTTGTTTTCAATATTACGTTTGATTTTCATATTTTAATACTAAATAACGATTTCATACTCTAATCAGTATATAATGAATACGCGATTTGATTCGCTTTTATGATTATTGCAATTCTTATGATATTTAAAGTTATACTTTATCTCTTTGTATTTATAATTATATTTAAAATGTATTACAATTTATGTATAATTATTCTTAATGTCAAATAAATATATTTCAGTCACAACTTTGATGATCACATTACTGTTAGAGTTTTTCATATGTATTTCATTATCTTCTGTATCAGAAGATACAGTAAGCAGTTCTACTAATATAGTGCTGTACTGTATATTCATATATGCTTACATCCCTGTCCAATTTGATTGCACCTTTGATCATATTCATATGTATTTCATTATCTTCTGTATCAGAATATACAGTAAGCAGTTCTACTAATATAGTGCTGTACTGTATATATATTCATATATGCTTACATCCCTGTCCATTTTGATTGCACCTTTGATCATCGTTTTTATACAATTAGATATCTACTGTATCCGCACATATGACTAAACAACTGACATATTACTGTATTTACAATTGATATCATAGTTAAGAAGTGTGTAAATGAGGACAACTGTATGGTATGTGTGGTTCAACTGATGTCCACATAACAGTAAACCGATAGATAGTGTGTGTAAATCAGGGTAAATGTATTTCTGTTATTTGATATGATCAAAGTACAATACACTTGTTGTTACAGTATTTGGAATAATGAAATGAGCAAGCATATCATATAAAACTGCAACATTAGTAAGTATAGTATTACTTGAATCCATGAAAACTGAATGGATGTGGGATTTAAGGCGTTTAAGGTATCGTTTGCAAACTTTTGGGTGAACTTCAAGTCCTAAGGGGTAAGCAATGAACTCACATTTCATATGCAATTCATTACAGGAAAGACTCAAAATGAAAATTATATATTATAATAAATAACAGTTATTTGACTGTATTACTAATCATCTGTATAATGCAGTCTATCATAGAGGTTGACAATAGAGTAGCCGTACTATCATATGGTATAAAAGGGTTAAAATACAAAGAAATGAATGAAGAGTTATAGGAAGAGATGGAAAGTGAATGAATTGAATGAATGATTGGATGATTGGATGCATTGCATAGTCATAGCAGTGATAGTGCTCTAAGCAATGATTTGATCAAATAAACAAACATTAGGTCTGTATGAGTGGATTGTGCGCACAAACACACCAACGAGTGTTCAATACAATGATAACAACATTGCATAAAAACATTTGGCAATACTTTGTTCAAAATCATACATTCATTTGATACGCGTTTCTCATTGTCTCTCATTTACCACTAATTACTTGTATTTCTCTCATAATTATCACACATTTGTCGATACTTTTCCGCATTTAATGTCACATTCAATGCATTTGTCAATGAATTTATCGTTTATTTCAGTATAAATTGAATGAACAGTAATTGTGTGAAATGGTGGACCATATGATCATATGATAGTACGAAGACATTTCGGAATATCAGTGAAAATGTTGTACATATTTCTTGTGGAGAGCGGATCAATGATGACGTTTGACATGAATCTCGCACTTCAGACGTAAGTGGTTTAATCTGATTCTCGATGATTTGATGACTTGTGATTCACTGATGATAACGTGGTGTCCATAGAGTGGCGAATCTGAAGAAAGCGATTGCAATTCAGTGTGAAATCCCTGAAGAGAAACAGGTTTTGCTGATCAGTGGCGGAGAGAGTCTTAATATGACGGCCAGAGTGTGTTCGTACGGCTGTTCCGGGACTGACACGAGTCCTATATTCCTCTTCAGTAAGAACTCGATAGAGAGTCTAAATCCACCGAAATGTGTGACTGAATACGACCCGGACGTGGATATGGCGGACAGAGTGAAGAGTTGTGTTGACATGAATCCCAGTATCCATACAGTGGTGGCCAGGGCTGAGATGGCACAACAGCTCCACGAGATGGCTAAACAGCAGTTCCATAACTGCGAGCGATTAGTACACGACCAGCACCTCCAGCAACAGGGATGGGCGGCAGTGGTCGCCAATCTCGAAGACATCGCCAACTCCTTCTCCAACAGCGCTCTTCAGTTGGAGGAGAAGTTCAATGAGTTTATCGAAGAAAAAGACTTTTTTACGAATTTATTACAAAAGTAAGCGTTTTATGACTTATTATTACAACTCGTTATACATATAAACAATTTAAACATATTTTGAATTTCAGTTTCAATGATGACATCAACACCTTATCAATGATACCATTATTACGTAATTTGATATCAAGTGATATGAGGACTCCTGATGAGACACAGGAGTCAATGAATCTGTTGGAGTGGATCAGTCAGAGGGACAACCAAAACAGTTTGGAGCAGTTGTCTGAACACTGCGGCCGAGGCTTAGAACAGTTGGATTTGGAACAGCTCTCCAAAGTGAAGGATGAGGTGAAGGAAGTGATGGAGTCTTGCAATCAGTCCAATATGAAGGAAGTGAAGGGATTGGAGGAGCGGTTATACGGACTCGAGAAGTTGATGTGCGAGTCCAAGAAGATTGTGGACGAACAGCGAGATCTGGCGCAGGCCTTCTACCAGGTAACTACTTCTTGAGACCAGTTTCTATACTTCAGTTCTTAACCAGAACTCCTTCTTAGAACCAGACGCGCGCCGCCAACCTCAGGGACCCATCCATTCTGCCCGACTTGTGCGCCAGTCATCAGCAACAGCTTCAGGTGATGCTTAAGAACCATCAAAAGCTGCGCGACATTAGGCGCAGGTGTGCGCGCGCTAAGGAGGAACTGTCCGGTAATCTTCACGCACGCCTTCGATGGATTGTCTTCATTGAGAAAAGACTTTCCGAAATCGACGCCAAAGTGTTGATATATCGCGAAAACATCCGCCGATTGGAAAAGCACTTGAAAGTTGTCCATCAGATTCATTTGGCGCCCAAAATATATTTGGCATCAGTTGTCGAAGTGGTCAGACGTAAGACATTTTCAGATGTATTCCTCCGTTGGGCCACAAGTTTGGCGGAAAACTCATCAAAATTGGTCGAAAATGAGATCCAAATGAGACAATCGTTTTCAACTCAATTGGACTCACATTTTCTGCAGATTTTGTTTCCCGGAATGAATGACATTCCGCCGCGTTTTGCAAATGAGTCGCCCCTTCCTTTCGACACAGATTTACCAAATCTTAGCGAATCTGATGTCAACTTTCTTCGCACACAATTACCCGACTTAATCGGTCTGTTGTGCGTGCCTTCGCCTGTGCCTATGCCTCAACCGTCCACTCAATCCGAGTCAACAGTCGGTGCCATTGTGTCGAAACCCAGCGAATCAGACACTGAAGAGTACGATACGGTTAACGAAGAATTCGATAATAAGGGTTCGGCTAATGAATTGCAATTAAAGCAAACGCTAAGTAATGATAACATAATGGATAATACAGATAAGTTCAAAGAAGAATTCACACAAATGTCTGGCAATCAAATTGATTTTGAAGAAATGGAAACGAATTTTGAAAAATTGAAAATTGAATTAAACGATAAAACTGAAGAAAACCAAGAATTAAATGAGAAATGCATTAAAATTGAAAGTGAATTAAATTCCAGCCAAAGTGCTCTCAAATCTCTTCGAAATCTTTCATTTGAATCGATCTCTAAGTTTAAAGATCTCAAGACATCATTTGCAGAGCAATACAATGATCTTCGAGACGAGTATTTATCATCTTTTGATTCAATGAAACAACAGTTAAATGATTGGGTTATTCTACAAGAGAAGCAATTGTCTGAAAAGCAATTAGAGTTTAACGAAAGTTCGGAGGAATACAAGAATAAGATATCAAATCTGGAAAATTCAAATCTTTCGCTAAACAACGAAATCGATTCTCTGAGACAAGAGATGGAAAAGTTACGCAAAGATAACCAGTGTTTGAATGAACAAATCAATGATAAAGACGCGGAAATAAATGAATTGAAAGCTGAGATTTTGGAGAACAAGAAACAGTTGACTTTAGAGCATGAGTTAGAAATTACTTCTTTGAATGAAGAGATGGAGAAAATGAATGAATTAAAGCAAACACTCGAAGACACAGTGAATGAGAAAAACTCTGAAATGATGGCTTCGAGACAAAATTTCGAGAAATTAGAGTCGGATTTATTGGTTCGTTTCCAAGAAGAGAAAGATTTATTGAAAAACTCTTTGAATCAAGACTTTAATGACAGAGAAGAGACCCAAAGAAATGAATTTGAGACTAAACTCAAGCAATTGGAGAGAAATAACGAGTCGGTTATCAATGAATTGCGTTTAGATATGGAAAACCAAAAGACAAAGAGTTTGATTGAATTGAAGGATAAGTTGGATTCGGAGCACAAACACGAAATGGAATGTCTTCGGCATCGGTTCAAACTGGCCATCAGTACGACATCTATTGAACGGACCCCTTCTGAGACCAGTCTTGAGAAAGTGAATCTGGATGTGATCGACCAGTTGGCACAGGAACGGGAGGTCCAGAAACTCAAGCAATTGATTTTGGATGAGAAGAACAGATACGAAGAACTGCTCATTAGATCAAAGAAGGAGAGAGAAGACGAGATGAAAGCAATGAAGTCAGAGATGGCGGCCAAATGTCAGGTCAACTTCAATGAGGCTCTTAATAAGTTGTCGAACGAAAGGGAACTCTTAGCCCATGAATTGACTCAAAAAGACAATTGTCTTCATTCTTCACTTTCCGCTATAAATGATATCATTTCTAAATTTCAGTCGTCAGAAATGAGCGATAAAACTGAATCACAAGTGAATGAAATGTTGAATGAAATTGAAAATGAATTAAAGACATTAACTGCTAATTTTGGCCAAAAACTCAACGAATCAGTTATTTGTGATACAAGACCTCAATGTTCCTGTAATTCAATTAATGTGAGTCAATGCTTGAAATTTAAATTATTTGCCACACATTTTGTAAATATATGAGTTTTTATGTCAAAATAGATCATTAAAGACAAAGAATTAGAAATCAGTCGATTAAACAAGATTTTGCGGGACTCGGAGATGGGTCAGTCCTCATCAGCCATTGGACGCATTGAAAGGGTGTCCGTTTTGGGGTAACAATTCGTGACTTTACTTGTTTTATTTGGCAATGTTTACTAATCTGTTGTCGTCTAAATGTCTTTAAATCTCATTTCTTTAAAACTTTAATTTAAATGCAATGAATGTTATGTGAAATTAATTTGTTATAACAGCACACCATTTCAAAGTTAATGCTTATAATCACTGCTACTTTGAATCGTTTGTGTCGATTATTAATCACTTATTGAGTACTATATTCACATATTATTACATTTAATCTCAAAGCTGTGAAGTCGGAGATATTGTTCTCATCTATTATGAAGAAAAGTTTGACAATTATATTGTCTTCACTCTCACATCTGTTCTTCACTTCTTGCACACCGACTGTTTGGATGCGTTGTCTCTAAAATTTGGTA